TGCACTTTTTTACCGACGTCTGCAAATTTAGTTACAGCTTTTTACCAATGTCTCCAGAGTGCGGCTGCACTTTTTTCTAACGCCTGCAGAATGCGGCTGCACTTTTTACCGACGCCTGAACCACAGCTGAAAATTACTGTAAACACCACAGAACACATCAGCATATTCAAATCTATTTTGGGTGGTGATGAGAGTACATCTTGATAAAAGAGTACCAACCAAACATATTGTGTTATTTTAGGATTTGAAAAGAATCTTGAAATAAAACCCTAAAATAACTTTATTTAACTCTGATAGCATGTAGATTTTAGAAGAAAAAATAATAATTTTATTTCTCAGCGTTTAAGTTGTTACACCTGAATATTTATAAAATCCTTAAACTACTAATTAGAAAATAACTACTCTACTACAATTCTAATTATATAATACTAACTAATTAAATAGTAAACTAAAATAATAAAATATCATAGTCAACAGTTAGTTTATCTTAGAAGGAGTATTTTTAATTTATTGATTATCTAGATCTTTTTTTTTTTGTATCTATTCTGTTGCTGTAGTCTTTCTTCCCTCCCTTCCCTGATGTTTCCTTTTCTTAATCACCCCCTTGTTCTTTCTGTTCTTGAATCTCTTTTTCTTTTCCTATATGCAGATTAGCTTCCGCTACATTAAAAAGTAGCATATTCACAAATTGATTTGAATAAAGAAACCTCCTTGGTGAGATTATTACCAGGACATCATGCTGGACATTGTGATCAAGAGCAAGAACTGCACACACATGCTTAATGAACTCTAAAGCATAATCTCCTTTGCAGACACTACCAGTAACTTGTGCATTTTGAGATCTACTCATTTCCTTCATATGAGAAACAATATCTTGAACATTCTCAAGAAGTGTCTCTGTGAAGGTGGACCTGATCTGCAGAATATATATGATAACAGATAACTTAAAGGAAAATCTAGAACAGATAAGGAATATAATTTTGCAGCTTTCAGAATAATAATCACCTTCTGCCTGAGATAGTCTACCATATGCAGTTCAAATGTCTCCGCAGCTGCAACAGTGATTGATGGAGTGCATAAGCTGTCATTCTGTGCAGATGTTCTCACAACACCTTGATTTTGTGCAAATTTCCATGGGTCATATATAAACTTAGAAATGTTAAAAACAAAAAGATCCTGCAAAAACCAGATATGAACTTGAGTGAAGATCATCAAATTAACAGAAGCCTGCAATGATATTCTTCTAGAAATTCACTGGGCCAATACAAGGTTCCTCAAACATGACAATAGACATGTATGTTCATACATAGAAACAGAAAAGAATAAGAGAGAGAGAAAATTTCAGACAGCAACCAACCTGAACTTTCTCAGGCAAGTAGCGAGCAATATTCCAGCTTGATACAATATCCACTTTGTCAAGTGAAGCCTCATCATGTTTTGCAGGAATTCCACCGAAGTTATACTTTCAAACAAAATAAAAAACCATAAATTAGACAAAATATTTCGAAAGTATGTTTCAGGTAAATAATACCAGGTAAAGTTATCAGTGGATTGAATTTAACTTGAACAATGGTTTTTACCTCTACTTAGTCATCCCCAGGGGAGATTTTAGTTTGTATCGCAAACTCCTTTGTAATTTTGACATCAAATCAAATTGCTCCTCATTTATCTTATGAATCAATTAGTTTATAGCTATCAAAAAGCACCATGAGAAGATAAATTTTTTAGTCTCAATTTATCGATTTCTTGACACGAATATTTTAGCCATTTGTTAACAACATTTTCCTTTCATTTTTTCTTTGGGACGCACAACACGATCAAGATTCTCCTTTGCACTATTTTACAAATTTATGAGACTAATTAGTTTGATTAAAACACAAGGCGGAATGCAATGTGATTGTTACAATATAAATAATAGATTTGGTCATTTCTTATAAGCTGAAGTATTTCACATAATTGACCATGATCAACAATTTCACATAGTACTGGAGCCACAGGTTTAGTGTTTTAGCTCTGCCTGTATTATTTTTATTGAAGTTTAGTTTCAAGTAAAGTTTGGAGACATGCTTGATCCACACATTCGACCTAGTGACCTCTTGTGTAAATAGAAAATAGAGAAGAAAGAGGGTAAATTATGTTGTCTTTGATAACATGTGAAATAAGTGATGAAAAGATTGTATTTTTTATTGAGTAAGAAGGCAAAAGTACTCTTCCTTTCATAGACAAAATACAACTTGGAAAAAAAAACACAAGAAACAAAAAACAAAAAACAAAAAACAAATTGACATCCTTATTTCTAGGAAATAAATCAAATCCCTAGAGTTATAAAATATTTTTCCATGTATCCCTAAGAATCAAGTAGCAGATTTCCTTGAATTAAATTGCTGATTCTCAACACAATCATTTAGTTGCCTTCCTAAACATCCCATCCTAAAAAGATTGCCATTGTGGGTTGTCCCTTAATGGAACTCCTAGGTAGATAATAGGCCAAGATAATCTAGCACATAAATCCTATTGACTATTTCCAATTCCAGCACCTCAGCTAAATTATTTCCTACCAACCCACTCTTTTTTTGAGTTGACTAGCAATCCAGAGATAAGTTCAAAAAATTGAATTACTATGCTACTTGTATATTACTTATAAACCAAATTAAAATAATACTTATCCAAAAGTATGGAATAATACTTACTCCAATTAAAGGAAAAGATAAAGGTGGAAAAGATCAACCAGAAAATCTTTAGCAATCATATGACTCAACATGTTCTCACTTAAACCACTATGGAAAGATTATGTAGTATCTGCTGGACTGACCAGTTAAGAACTTTTTTATTAAAGATAAGAGTCCAATTAGAACATTCTTTTATCAACCACTATCAAGAAAATGTAGCAATAATCTGTAAACCATAATGGTTTATGAGGAAAACAACCAACATGGCAAAGAAGAGAAACAAGAGGATTGCATGGCATTGTTTGGAAAAAAGAATAAAAATCAAGGGGAAACAAGATAAACCTGATCCATGAAAAGCAAGGAATGCCAGAACTGCAATGGTTCAATTTCAATCCATTCAAATAGTTCCCTGTGAATGTCAAAGAAACAAATTATTGAAGGGAAGAAAGTTTTCTTTAAAGAAAAGTATAAAGAAATAAAATTAAAAAGAACCAAGGGGAATCGCCCATGTACAGAAGAAACCTCACTCAGAGCGATCAAATATCAAAAGGCTCAAAAAAATATCCACCTCCCCAACAATGGGATAACCCGTAAACAAGAGTTGCAAGGTCCTAATCCTATGATCCCTGATGGAAGATAAGGAGGTAGTATCTTCAAAAGTCAAAATTCTTTTCTTCGGCAAGTTAATATATCTGTGACGAACCTACTCTGAAGTGCCTTCAGCAAGCTTTCACAGTAAGCTTTAGCTGCAGAAATATCGAATTTTCCTGTGTCTATAATGATCTTTGAGAAATCTGCAAATATTATTGTAGCACCTAGTTTGCGAAATTCTGCCAACAGCAATGCAAACATTTTTTCCATAACCTGAGTATTAATAGCAGTAAAGAGAAGTCAAAAATTCCTCAAGAAGGCAAATGATAATTAGTATTGAAATACCAGAAGAACAGATATGCTTTGCCCGCACTACATTTCCACTAGCCCATAATGCAGCACTTCTTATCAAGGAAATCTAATTTACTAGAACTACAAAGAAGCAGAACGTTACATAGCATGCGATATTTTCTTGTAGCCAACAAACACAACAGAACATTTTAACTGACAACCAAATCTTTTTATGCATGAAACAAAAAGAACTGACATATACAAACAACGTTTACCTTGTGAAGTATGCGGTGAAGAGCTGGGTCATGAAGTTTTGATTGGGGGCTTCAACAAAAAAGAGATCCAGTGAGAATATCAATCAACAATGAAAGACATGTTATGAGTATGTATGCTAAACCTGCAAAGCCACCGAGATAGATGCTGCAACATTGCATCAGCAAATACATTCCCTGATGTAACTGCATCAGAAAGACACCTCTGAATCAGTTGTTTCAGGACACGGAATGCAGGAGCACATGCGGCAGCTTCATCAAAATCACAACGGTCATTCAAACCGTGTGCTCCAGAATTCACTTCAGGTTCAAAACTTAAAAGAGCACCCCCTTCCATTTCATTCACTTGGTTGCTTTTCAGAAGAGCGTTCACAGCCAAGTGATTGATCTGTATAAAAATATGTTCATATATGTTTAACTCTATTACCACGTATCTTTCGCCATGCTCCTCAAGATGTCCAGAACAAAGGACAGAACGCAAGGGCAGGAAAACAGGAAGACGTTTAAAAACTTTAAAAGGCAATGGGATGATGTAATTTCCAAACCTTTAGCTCCACAGAAACCTTTCTATATGCTCCAGGGTATGTAAGCAGTAGTTGAGGTACCTATTCCAAGTAACAGGTATCATAAAAGTGTTCAGCATAGAAAGACTTTTATTGAACATTGTAATAAACAAAAGGAAATCTATGACTATCACTGAAAAATAATTTCAATTTAACAGCGAAAAAATTGAATAGCAACTAATTAAAGGGAAACACACTGTCTAGAAGAACCCAAAATGCAAATGATTTATTGTCTTGATGCATACCTCATCAGTAAAACATGTATCTTCTTCACGAACACCTCCTAAGTCTGGAACACCATTATCAGATATCCATAGTACCTGTTACACTCAACTACCAAGTTAGTCATAGCTTTGTCATGAACCATTTAGATAACAAATAGGCAATACAAGAATTATTTAAAAAAGAAAAAGAAAAGGAAGAAAGAGATAAGGCTGCAGTTTGCGTCAAATAATAATTGTTGTCATTAGTAAATAAAAGGGAAAAAAAAAAAGAAAATTCCAGTCAATCAAGCTACTTTATATTTTTAGACATCATGTAACAGAGAACCTGCTGCTGATCACGTAACGCTCTTGAAAAGAAGACATCTGCTGTGAACATTACCCAATCGAACTCAAAATTTCCCAATGGTACCTAATCCACAATTGCAAAATGTTAATTTCTCAAAAAAGAAAAATAAAATTCACTAAACATAAAGAAATGACGATTTCATTGACATGGACGTAGATAATACATGAGCATATCTTGAGAGAGAAATTCTCTCATTCAACCACTGGGATGATGCAGCACAACGTTGAACAGCGATTTTTGCTGCTGGGTGTTGCCACGATAGAAGCTACACAGACAGTAAAGTTTTGAGCAATAATGAGCATGTGCTAATTAGCAAAACACATATGCATGTAAGCAGATACTTTCACAATGCCCCTACCTGATACTGATTATCACGAGCATTGAAAGGAATGCTTATGCAGGGGAGATCATTAAGACTTTGAATACCTGCCTTCATATAAGGTACATCTGGGCACTCAATGAGAGCAATTATAGGGCCACTATATTGATGTCTGTCACAAAATACAATAATTAGACATATTCAATCAAACTGGTCAAAACACGATGAAGCTCCGCACAACCAGAAAATGAGTGAAGACATACAATTAAACATTTAAGTTACAAAAAAAGTAAAAAATTTCAGGAATTTAAGAGCCCCAAACAGCGGTTGATAGCACATTTTTAGTAGGCAGTTTAGAAATCAGAAAACTTCTAACTATTGGTGAACAGAACACCATACAGGCTAACATCATAACCAAAAGATAAATAGAAATAGGGGGAAGTTTTAACCAAAAGATAAGTAAAACTTTAGAACAAGCAATTAAACCAGAAATCAAAACATATGCTCTATATGATTATGGGGCCACACAATTTCTCTTTCCAGAAAAAAGGAAGACTATATGTAAACCTGTGTTCATTAATTTCTCGTTGTAAAATCTTTTCAGCATCCTTGACATGTCCGACATAGTCCACCTGAAATTAGTACATATGACAAAACAAAGATGAAATCTCATGCAGGTTGAGAAGATCAAGAAAGCTTTTATCTGGTGAAAACAACCACTCACCTTATAAAGGATATCATTCTGAGGAGGTGGTTTGCTAGATAATGCCTGACAAGCTTCACGAAATTGTCTTTCTAGGATTGCTGGTGACAAGTCTTTATTTTGATAGGGATTAACTACCAAAACCAATAGAGTTTCTGATGAAGGAAAATAAACAAGATATACAGCCCGCCCAGCAGAGATGCTGAAATGAAAATAAAGAGCAAAATAAATAACATGAGGTTTTTTATTTGTTTTGTAGCAAGCATACCATGTAGAAGCATTTACTTGAAAGAAATTACCAATGGACAACTGATGAGTTAAAAAAAAATGAAGTTTTTATCAACATGTAAAAATGACAAACAAGAGTAAGCATAAACCAAGGTTTTAGTTAGCTAAAGCATAATGGCTTGTTAAGAATGGTTTAATGTGTATTCTATTGAATATTAAGACCCTTTATATAAATTTGTTAAAACTAGAAAGGAAATAAAAAATAAATTACAATTAATTACAAAAGATTCAAATTTACCCTTATATTCCATTTAACCTAATTTACCATTTTTTAACATTTCCCTTCAAGCTGAAGAGTAGATATTGTCCATCCCCAACTTACTAATAAGAGTTTGGAATACTAGATTACTTAAAATTTTTAGTTAACTTATCTGTTAGTTGAGAATTGTTAGGCATACATGGGGTACATATTAGACTGCTTTCAAGTTTTTCTTTGATAAAATATATATCGATCTCACTATGTTTGGTCCAGTCGTGTTGCACTGGATTGTGAGTGATACTTACGACCGTTTTGATGTTACAATATAGGCGCATAGAGTTTTCTCACTTGATTCTAAGATATTCTAAAATCTTTTTTATCCATATTAGTTTACATACCACTTGTGCTATTTTCCAGAATTCTAATTCTGCACTATCTCAAAACTATTTCTTTCTTACTTCTCTAGATGATTAGATTGCCTCCAAAAAAGATATAGTATTATATGATGGACCTTCTGTCTACAATTGATCTTACATAATTTACATCAATATAGACTTCTAGGAGTAATATATCATTCTTTCAAAACATAATTCCTTTCCAAGGCGACCTTTTAAGATAATGCAATATTTTGTACGCTGCTTGTAGGAATAGTTATTTTGTACTGTCCATGAATTAACTTATAACACTCACTGCAAAAGAGATGTCTATTCTTGCGTAAGATAGGTATATCAATCTCCCGATAAATCCTACTACATTTAATTAATCCTATTACATTTTTTGTTGATTGGCATGTCTTTTTCTGTTATTCCATATTTGTTATTCGAATCAACAGGAATGCATGAATTAACTTATAACACTCATTACATAAGAGATGTATACTCTCGTGTGGGATAGATATATCAATCTTCTAACTAATCTTAATACATTTCTTTTTAATTGGCATATCTTTTTCAACTATCCCAAATTTGTTATTAGAATCACATGAGTACTAACTAGTTTATATGCTAACTTGCCGGTGTCCCTCAACATGTCACGAATGTACTTCGTTGACAAATAAAAATTCCAAATTTTGAATGAGCGACTTCAATTTCCATGAAATACTTCAACTTATTAAGTTCCTTAATTTTAATTTTCTTTCCAAACACTATTTAAGTATCAATTTTTCTTTAGCATCTTCTATTACAATAACATCATCAACGTATATTAAGAGAGTTGTAACTCCTCTTGTCTCTGAGCTTTGATGAACAGAGTCTCGTCTCCTATAGTCTGCTTAAATTCCAAATCTATCATCACCCTTACAAACCTGTCAAACCATACTTTTGGTGATTGCTTGAGTATGTACAGAACTTCCTTTAGTTTATATAGCTTATTTTGTCTTATTTCTCCATCAAATGCTAGTGAAATATTCATGTACATTCTTCTTCTAACTCACTATGCAAAGAGGTATTTTTTACATCAAATTGTTGTAGTTATCAGTCAAAATGAGCAATTAATAACAATAAAATTTGCATAATGTTCATCTTGGCTACCAGTGCATTTGATATCTGTTGATTGTCTCATCCCATTGCATTTGATAATAAACACTCATTTAAATCACACCGGTTTCTTACCTTTGAGTAGATCCACCATTTCCCATGTCTAATTTTTCTCAAATGCCTACATTTTGATATTCATAGATTCTTTCTATTTTCACATGCCTTATGTATTGTGTTAGAAATAAACTCAACATTCAAACTTGTAAGGAAATTTTTATGAAATAGTGAGCAATTATCAAATAACACAAACTATGAGATACACAAAGAATGTGTTTAGTGCATCCTCTTCTACCTTTGCAAAGTGTAACAAGTATATCATTATCGTATCTTTGGGACAGCAATTTCGTATTAAACTAATCAGCACAGTCTTAAATTTCTCTTGGCTCATTAGGGTTTAGAAAAAAGCTAGAAAGAGCGAAGAAGAGAGAAAAAGATCGGAGAGAAGAGAATGAGAGAGTATAAGTAATCACTAAATTCTTTTTTCATTGCCTCATGCAGAAATCTGTTTACATATTTATAGTGCCAATCATTGGTACAAAGATTGAATATCCTCCAGCATATTTCCTTGGATATTCTCTAACATCTTCCTAAGCAATATACCTAAATTACCCTACTCTTTTCTTTTTTTCTGGATTAGATATTCCCCAGCATATTTCCTTGGATATTAACTGCATAATCCCTTGGATATTCTCTGCATATTTCCTAAGCGATATTCCTAAATTACCCTACTCTTCTCTTTTATTCCTAACAAAGTATTGTCTTTTGAGCTCCATTCAACAACAGCAAACTAGTAAGTTCTTAGGCTTTGATTTTGTTGTAGAATATTGCATGGGACGCGAAATATTGTTGTTGATGCACTTTCTAGAAGATCTGAACTAAAATCTAGCTACCATGCAATTTTCATTCCCTATCTAGATAACTTAGATTGCATTGGTGATGCAATCAACAATTCCAATTCACTTAATTAACTCTTAAATCGAACCTTGAGGACGCAACCAATCATTAGGAAGTTCATGACGACTTAATTTTTTATAGAGGGCAAATTTTCCTTTTGGGATCTGTTATTACCTACCATTCACAATCAGCTTTATGAAGGTTATTGAAAGACATTAAGGAGGATTTCAGTTGCCTTCCTTTGGAAACTAATGAAATCTCACATAAATGACTTTGTTCCCTCTTGTTCCACTTGTCAAGTAATAAGGTGGACCACTCACAACCTGCAGGTCTTCTGCAACTGCTACCAGTTCCCTAACAGATTTAGTCTGATATTCCGAGGATTATGTGGAGATTCTTCCTACATCTCATGGTAAAAATGTTTTCTTAGTGGTGATTGGTTGTTTATCATGATATACTCACTTGGTTTCCTTATCTCATTCTAATACAGCAATTAAAGTCGCTTGCCTTTTCTTTGACCACATCTTCAAGATCCCCAGAGTCCATCGAATGTAATCGTGATGCTATATTTACAAGCCTTTTTTGGAAGGAACTCTTCTATATTAGAGGCATTAAATTTTTTTTCAGTTCTACCTACCCTACTCAAATGAGCAGCCTGAGGTGGTCAAATGCACTATAAAAATGTATATCCTCTGTTTTAAAGGTGACCATCCTACATATTGAGTAAAGTGGATTGAATAGGTTGATATGCTCACAATACTCTGATTTTCATTCTTCTTTTAACGCTACTCTTTATAAGGTAGTCTACGGTTTCCCAACACCTAACTCCATTTATGCTTTTCGAGCTTATCACAAGGACAAGCTGTAGATTGTGAACTCCAAACACTTGATAAGATTTTAACGAACCTATGCACCCAAATTCTATAGGCTCAACACCATGTGAAACAATCTTATGATTCTAATCATCACGAAGTCAATTTTCAGGTTGGTGATATGGTTCTGTTGAAGCTCATAGCTCCCCATTTTTATGGTCCTTTTTCAGTGCTCCGACAAATTGGAGAACTGGCTTACAGACTAGATTTACCAACCAATGAATATATCCAGTTTTTTGTGTTTCATTTCTCAATTTTTCGTGTTTCATTTCTCAAAAGTTTTATGGCCAGCAACATGTGACTTCTTCTCTTCCTCACACTCAGCATGGAGCTCCTCTCCTTTTTCCACAAGCTCAATTGGATTTCCATGAGCACAAGGGACAACATGAAGTCCTTATTAACTGGGAAGGACCTTTTCCAGCAGAGTCATCATGGGAACATGCTGATCAGATTGCCCTCTGGCACCCATCCTTTGCACTTGAGGACAAATGCAATTTATAGGGAGTGACATTATGGACGGTAACGGTGAAAAGATAACACCTTTTGATAAGGTGTACCAAAGGAGAAAGAAAAGGAAGAGAAGCTGTACCCAATAGAAGAATTATGTACCAAAAAGTAAATAATTATATGTGTTCCAGTCTATCTTGTAAGTATGTATTGGTAGTAAAAGATGGAATAAGTCAAGGCAAGATGGTGGCTATTAGATTCTGGATAAGTTGGATAACTTCAAGAGTAATTACCTCCTTCTTCCCTTGTAATAAATCCATATTGATGTCCCTCAAACAGATTTATGTATGAAGAAAATTATTAAAGTTTTGAGTACTTTTCTTTTTAACAAGCCCATATCTTCTTAACGAGCCCATAGTTAGATTAGAATAGGTAAATAGAGAAAGATACAAGAACACTCGCAATTACCAACTGATTTTCTTTGGTTTCTTGTATCTTTCCCCTTTTTTTCCGTTTTGATAGAGGATAACTAATTCCTGCATATTGTATTCCCTCCTTTCTTTAAATTAATTCATTATCTTTGAAAAAAATTCTGCTTAGGATCATGGTCCAAACAAAAGTTCTTTAACCTTGGAGATATGTTTGCTTTCTTAAGAGAGAGAGAGAAAGAGAACCAAATTATGACTTAGTAAACAATCTGAAGGAAATTCGAAATAGAATAGGATTTACAGTTGTAAACCCTCAAGGACCTGAGGGTCCACACTGTATTGTTAGAGATCGAAATAGTATAAGAGAAAGCAGGTAGACTAATCAAAAACACTAATTCAAATGATTTAACAGTTATTGAGATTTCCGAATAAAAGAAGAAAGTTACCAAATATTTTGGGAACCATTCCAAAATAAAGTAGCCTGAGTAGTAATCATCATAAAGCCACATGACAACCAACAAGCATAGTGTTAAAATTACCTATGATACAAGTAAAAGAAAGAGATTGACTGCTCCAGGTAAGGACATTCCGTTGTAGTTTTCATGTGTAGTTCATTCAGACTCCATCCATCCTGGGCATTTCGTTCCTTAGCTGACTTTTCCACTTTACACACACAGCCAAGCTGCAGAATAGCATTGAAATCCAGTGGCAGTTTTGTTTCATATATTCCCTGCCATAATCAAAGAACCATATAGAGTAGTGGCATAAGATTTCCCATCAGCAGCATGAATTTCAACTTCCATAATTCATTGTTTTTTAGAGTTCTATACTCCAGTTTTTCTTTTACTGGAGAACTCATACAGATGTTAACAATCATTTCAATATCCAGGAATTAGTAGCAGATTAGGAACAGTAACATGACAAGGAACATGAAAAAACATGTTTCTTTTGCAGACCTGCCATTTAATAAGAAACATGTTTGTCAAACAACATATTAGAAGTTCTTAACATGGTTACTCAAGAAAATCAAAGCTGTCATGCAGCAGAGCCAAAGAGAAAACAGAAAGGTAAAAAAGAGAAGAAAGGAGACTATATAATCATATGGATTGACAATCTGCAATCACAATGAATCTAATCTACATTCCCAACAATTAACAATCCACAATTTATCCCAAAAAAAATATAATTACCAATCCACAATCACAATGTTGAAAACACAATCATATTTTTGGGCTCACCATAAGCACAATCCAAACAAACACGAACAGGGATGGGGGAGATGAGTTTTCTACTGGGCCGAACACCGGCTAATAATGGCCGATCCCAACTTATCAATAAAAAATACTTGATAAAAATTGTTTGATTTTAATATATTTATACTTATTTAGCTGATTTCTTATTTTGCAAAATTTTTACAAGTCTGACTAATTTAAAATATTTTCAAGTTAAATGTTTAGACATGATCTCTTTGAAAAATAATAATTTTTTTATATTTAATATGTACTATCAAGTTAAGAAGTTTTTTGTAAGTTTTTTTCTATAACACAGTCTACCTATATGTATATAAACTTCTATATAAGTAAATCACTAATGGTGATAAATCTGAAAAGGTAAGTGATAGTTACAAATACCAGTGCTCCAAAACTAAACCCATGATCCTAACGGTACTGTATTTACTATGATAAGAGTGGTCATTGACGGTGAAAACTGAAAGAGCAATGCTAATGCCCATCAAGCTAGAGGGCATTAGCACTCCGCACGCACTATATAAAAATGTAGCATGTAGACAAATAGATCTCATATTCATATAAGACAGCTAGGTTAGAAGGGATAAAATATAAGAAAATATAAGAAAGTATATATGAAATAATTTATGCGTCTAATAAATGTAATTTATGTATGTTGAAATTAATGGCAGGTGAGACCATTTGATTTGTTAATTTCTATTTTATAATTACTTAAAAAATTATGTTTTTATTTCTTAGTCCATCAAATAAGTTATATTTAACAGTTTTTAGATTTAATTATATTCATTAAATTACTAAATATTTATAAAATATTTAATCTACCTCTTCTATGTCTTTTATTTCAAATAATAGTATACGTAAATAAATTTTTAATCCTTTATAACTATTTGTTATTTTTCGCCTATGTTTATCTCCTATTAATAAATATATATTCCTTGTATATAGATAGGAAATTTATTTTTAACATACAATACCAAGCAATTATTATTCTTTTTTTCTTAGTTAATACTTGTAATTATCTTCCTTTCTGTTTGTTCAGTAAATTATATATAAATATTTAAGGCAATATGCGATATAATAACTATTGTAGATGAGTATATGTGAATATATAATTTCTATATAAAAGCTATAGATTTCGATATTTTTATCTAGGGATGTAATAAAAATAACATTATATCCACAGTGTATTGTGCATAATGTAGCTGCTTATAGATATATGACTTGCAATTAAGACAAAATTTGTGAATTTAACAGCAAAAAAAAGTAGTGATGCAAATACTGCTTCTCTATAATATATTTGTGCTTATAACTATATTACTTGTAATTAGCACAAAGTAGTAAACTTTATGATTGATATTTCTATGTTAATAACACCCAAAATATACAATCTGTTTAATTTAATAAAATATTATATATATATATATAGATGAAAATAGTAATCACTTTTTAAAACAAAATATACAAGTTATTATTAAATAATAACAATAATAATTATAAGTATAACTATCATTATTATTACTATTATTAGCTTTAACTTCTTACATATGTAATGATATATAAAAATAACAATAAAATAATAATAAACATAATAATAACAACAACAATAATGATAAGAAAGAAAAATGAGCATGAAGAATAAACTAAACGAACAAAGAGATGAATTATTTTGATTTCCCGATAGATACTACACTAATCTTAATGTGCTCACCTCAATTTCAGGATCTGCTAGGAGAGCCCAAAGTTTCTTGCTTTCCCTTTTAAATTGATCTTCATCAATTATGACCTAATAAATTCAGAAGAAAGATTAAATCCTAGAAACTTTACATCTGAAAAGATAATAGAGAGCAGGAATTTAAGAAACAGCAAGAAAGACCTGCCTCTATTAAGTTATAGCTGCGCTTTCCATGAGGAAGAGTCTTGTTGACATGTCCTCCAGGAAAATTTTCCATCATATGTGCTTTTGAATTGAGGTAAAATATTCTTGGAACAGTTACAGGAATCTTAAGCATAATTCCTTCCACAACAACCCAAGCAAAAAATTGGCCACTTTGTGAACTTGGAACTAGTTGAATTATCTGAACAATTTAAGTTTAAGATTAAGTAGTCATATAGTAATCATTTTATGCCAAATTATGGAGATAAAATGAATACTTCATACCTGCCAATGGCAGCGAGTTAACATTACTTCAGGCCTTGTAAAATATGAACTAACACCTCTCCTGCTCTGAGGATCATTATAGTTTACCTTATCCCTTAGCAGCCTAGAAGTAGCATTAGCACTGCATGTATTCAAATTCCCCAACCTGCCAAATGTAATAATGTTTTCTTGAAGTTTGTTGTTGAAAAACTAGATAAACGCATAAAGATATAGGTGTCCTTTCGAAACCAAATCTAGATTACATTAAAAATTATGAAAAGGAAGCAGCTCTTAAAATTTTAAAAAAAAAAATGATACGTAATGTTGCAATAACAAACAAGAAGCAGGGACTAAGTTTGGTAGGTACCTTAAGAATACATAATTTAAACTTTCATACAAGAAGTATTAATTAATATTTTGTTTCTTTAATGGGCCATCTTCTTGTACCTTGTTATCATAGGGGCTTCTTATTCCCCCAAATGGAGTTTGAAGCTAAAAGGACAATCAACAATGCATGCAGTCATGGTCACAGCTCTATGTTCAGAGATCCCAATCAAATCTCTACCATTTCAATCTAAAAGCAGTCTTAAAACTGTAGGCACTGGCTGTAAATAAGAAAAGTTCATTGCCCATCTACCTATTTATGTAAACTGTGATTTTCACAATTTATTTTGAGTAACTCAAAATCAATTGTCAAAGGATGAATTCTCAATATAAGATTAGATTAAAAATCTCAAGAATCGCAATTTCTATACTTTGAATTGGACCAGGATGCCATACCATGAACATGGCCTTTATCCTCAGATGACATAGGAAAGTTTACCTTTGCCTCTTTCTCTTTTCTAGTGTCTCTTTCCATTTTCTCTTCTTCAAATCAAGCCATCCTTGATAATCGACATTTTTGTCAATGTTTTCAGAGGCCATAAAATCTTTCTGTAATGTTGAAGACTGCTTCTCCAAACTACCAACAGAATCCATTTTGCATTGCATGGAATTTGGTCGGTTCATTGCCTTGCCTGTACGTTGTTCATAGCTGCGAACAATTGGATTACGTCCATCTAAAGATTGTACCCTTCTATTCTGCAAGTCTTCCAAATCTTCAACATTCTCCTCATTTATCACATAATTGGTGATTATAGCGTCATGAGTGCTCTCCAGTGGATCATCCCTGTTTGATGAGCTGAAGATATCAACTAACTTCCGTTGACGAAACCTATCATTTTTCTCACGAATTCTTTTGTGCAGCCAATCAGGATGAACTACCCTTGGGACAGGATTTGCAACCTGGAGAAACCAAACAAATGCTTAGGTAGCTAAGAAATATACTGCTTAAAGAAAGGACTGTTGAATAATAGAGGTAAATTGATTATCTTAAACCCTTGTTATCCTAAATATTTAAACTCATAAGAAACTATTCAACTTATTGTTTATGCACTAACACGTCTCTTCATGCGCAAACTCGTTAGGGTGAATGCGTGAATCAAACACGAGCCTAAACTACCTACTGGTGCTAATCAACAGAAAATAAGGCAACAACGAGAGAACACTAAACCTTTATTTTTAATAATAAAACTAAACTAATATTTTGTAAAAACTTATGCTAATAAGAAATGGCTTGATCCAAACACAAAATAAAAAGGTAAGCAAACCTTTTGCATAGCTGCAGGTATTGTGACAATTTTTTGAATAGCAGAGCTAAGTCGTTGCTTGTAGTAGGACCAATCAACAATGGAACGAATGCCAACATCTGATGAAGTCTTGCACCATTTTCGCAAATAAAACTTCATTATTTCTGTAGAGTTAAATTGTAAAATTGGTTTCTTTAGTCTATGAAATAGAAGTAGAAAGTAACATATGTAAATTAATGTGGAAATCCTATATGTTAACAGATTATGATTGACACTTAATGACACAAAATCATTATAGGAATCTCGGATGCGTTGAGATTCTGATTGACATTTAATAGTAAAAAATTAGTGATTAATTTCACTACTTAATTAGGCATATACTTTGTAATTAATTAGGTGCAGTCAATTACTTGATTTATTTCTTCTTTTTTTTGGTAGACTCTTGTACTATACGATGGAGGAGAGTTATACAATTCTATAATAACAGAAAAATTATAAATTTAAATTATGTTTTCATGAAATCAAAGCCAGGATTCATCTAACCCAGCCCTCAATGTCAAAGACCATCTATAGAGGATCGGTTACCTTCGAAGAAAAAGAGGTATACTTCATCATGAGTTCTAATGAGTCAAAAGGCTCCCTCCAACTCACAATGGAGAAGTTGAACAGGAAAAACTCCCGAGAATGGGCACAATCAATTAAACTCTTTTCTAGTTTTCAAACATCGGATCACCCCTCCTCTATGCATATTTCCTTAGGATCATTAGCTCACAAAAGTAATTCTTTAAAGGCATTGAGCATAACCTCCAGCTCAAAAAATTCTTGGATAATTGATTCTGGTGCCTCTAATTATATGACTTATTCTTATCATCTGTTTACCACTTATTCACCTTGTCCTGCAAATTTGAAAGTTAAAATTGCATATGGTTCACTTTCTTTGGTCGCTAAAAAATGAAGTATTCAAATCTCAGATCCCTTAACCTTAAAATTCATTTTTCATGTCCCAAAATTGTCATGCAATTTATCATATGACAGGTAGTTGAGGAAAGACTTCAATTTTCAGCTATGTTCCTTCCATCTCATTATATTTTTCAATACCTATCATCGGGAAAGACGATTGGCAGTGCTAAGGACTATGAAGGATTCTACTACTTTGAAGAAGCCAAAATAAGTAACTAAAATAAAATTTCAATTTGTAGTTATGCTTCTACTTCTAGGAAAAATGAAATTCTAATATGGCATTATAGAAACTTGCAACACTAAGCACCACATCCAAAATCTGAACACAAACCTTTCAAACCTTTTTCCATGATTCATAATAATTGGTCGGGCCCTTCTCGTACTTCCAATCGAACACATGCAAAATGATTTATTATGTTCGTAGATGATTACACTCGAGTATGTTGGGTGTACTCGAAAAAAGAAAATGCAGATGTTTGTTCAGTATTTATCAATTTCTAATCTACGATTCACACCCAGTTCCAAACATCTACAAATCCTACATAGTGATAATGGCACAAAATACTTTAACTCCACTTCAGGTGACTATCTTTGAAAGAAAACGGAATTATTCATCAAAATTCACGTGTTAATACCTCACAACAAAATAGAGTTGTCGAACGAAAAAAATCGGCATTTGCTGGAGGTTGCTTGTGTCCTTATGATCACTATGAATATGTCAAAAATATTTTGGGAAGATGTCATTTGAACCTCGGCACATCTCATTAACTGAATGTCTTGCCAAATTCTCTCATTTGAAACTCTCAAAAAATTTCAATCATTTTTTCCTACCTCTTGTCTTGGCACACATCTTCCTCTGACAATGTTTGGTTGCACTGCATTGGCATTTGTTCATTATCATTCTCCCCAATGTGATAAACTAGAACTAGAAGCCCATAAATGTATCTTTATTGGATACTCACCTACAACAAAAGGCTACAAATACTGTGATCCATCTATATGTCGAGTGTTTGTCAGCCTTGATGTTAAGTTTTTTGAAAACATTCCTTACTTTTGACACGCCAATCTTCAGGGGGAGACATCGAATGAAAATTGGTGTAATTTAAACTTTGATCTTTATGATCCATCTCCACTGATCATCTTACCCAATCATCATATGCTATGTATAGAAGGAAATTTAAACTTAGAGGGAGATTTAGAACCAAGGAGAAAAGAGATATTGGTTTACTCATGAAAGCCCAAGACAAAGTACAATGAGGCTTTCATAACCGAAGCATTAAAGAATCAAAACTATTGATAGTTACGACCAATCATGAGTCATCTGATCTTCACCTCACCAATCCGTTGGTTTAAGTAATCTTTTATCATCGAATGAGTCTGTTGATTTAAATAATCATTCATCACCTGATGAGTTTGTTGATTTGAGTCTTCCTATTGCCTTCAAAAAACCACCACGATCATGTACTCTTTATCATTACTAAAAATACATGCCCTAAGATGCTTTGTTTACAAGATATCATACCTTTATCTCTAATCTTGACAAAACAAAGTTCTAAAAAATATATAGGTAGCACCATAGATTCCTTAGTGGAGGGAGATAGTCATGGAAGAGATGCAAATTCTCAAAAAAAAAAAAAAAAGAAAAAGGAAAAAGCAACCTGGAAAGTAACATCGCCTGAAGGTAAAAAGTCTATTGGCTGCAAAATGAGTGTCTATACTGAAATACAAAGCCGATGAGACTATTAAATGATATAAAGCTTCACTGGTTGTGAAAAGCTTCACTCAAACTTATAGAGTTTATTACAAAGAAGTATTTCACTAGTAGCAAAATTAAACTCAATTTGATTCTTCTATCCTCCACAATCAACCTAAATTGGCAACTTCAACAATTTGACATTAAGAATGC